ACCTCGTACAATCAGCAGGAGAGAACTCTTTAAAGTAGAGACACTACCTACTGATATACACCTGAACATCAGCAGGAGAGGACTCTTTAAAGTAGAGACACTACATACTGATATACACCTGAACATCAGCAGGAGAGGACTCTTTAAAGTAGAGACACTACATACTGATATACACCTGAACATCAGCAGGAGAGGACTCTTTAAAGGGGAACATATTAACAATCGTCTGCTCTTGCATAGTGTTGTGTGTAAACAGCATACAGTGGGTAATTCCAGTGTTGCATGCAGGGTAATAATTCATTGTCCACTAATCTGATGCGCTTTGGGTGCAAAGTAGGATAAAATCAGAACATAACACTATAAATCACCAGAACTCCTCTCCTTTTTATTCGAACCCGTGGCAAATAGACATTCAATGCACATCCAAAACCAATTGATGAGGGGAATGAAGGGTATCGGGAAGACGGCTCGGGTGAGATGAAATCTAACGCTGAAATAAAGCAGCACGAAGGATTAGATGTGGATAGGTACTCAGAGATGGCAGAAACAAAAGGATTAGCCGGAGAGAGAGGGATGTGGGTCACACCCGGCTGATAGTGAAACCAGCCATCCAGCCTGTCCCGAGGCCATCCCACAATCCATCATGGATCGCCATGGAGACTGCGAGAAGAGGGGGAGGAGGAGCAGTGGGGGTCACATTTTACATTTACACATTTACAGGGAAATATGTGTCGAATTATTCGTCTAAATTACACTTTTTGAGTAATTTCGAGTGTTTTAGAGTGGGATGCCTTACCTGGGCTTTGACCTTTGACCCCTGGTTCGAGGGATAACTCACTAAGAGGGCGGCTTTCCAGACAGCCACCCGGTGAGGATTACTCCATTAAGCTCTTTGTTAACCTTGTGGCACTAAACATAACTAAGAGTCACGATAGGTGCTTACAGGGACGCATGCTAAGGATTCCCTAATACCGTCTGAGATCAGTTTGAGCAATATCCCATCAACCAAGCGTCTCATCCCCCTATTTATTCTGCTAGTCATTCATAGAAATCGGACTTATTTCCTAAATAAAATCCTGTCACATTGAGGGATAAGGCAACGCTACAATACGGGGATCTAGCTTTTTATTGCCATGAGAGTGGGGGTAAGTGGGGGTAGATGATATCGTGGTGCTGTAATTACTCTGACATGCCTTCAACAGCAGTCTCAAAAGACATGGATTCCCCTCGAACACAGGAAGTGAGCTACAGATCTGATAGGGCGTCATGGCGGGAAGCAGCCTTAGAAATAACCTCCTCTTTATCGGTGGGATCAGTGGGAGCGCAGGAAACTCAGTGACCTACATATCCTTCCGACAGACATCTGTTACCTTCCTTTGCACACCCTGGGCCAACGTGAAAAGCACCAATTACTTTGATAAACCACTTTCACGGCGGCGCCCTCGCAGCCAGTGTAGCTTCGAATGTTCAGGCGGTGTATTACATTCTGTTGTCCGTAGAAATGGGCACAAAGCGTGATTTTTGAAAAAACTTTAATCGAATTTTGCCATCTGCGGGCACGGGGATAATTACAAAGATATATGGAGGCATGTGTTGCATGCAGGGGCCTCGGACAGGAGGAGGAGAGATGATGATTATTATTATTATTATATCATCTGAATAAGATTGGTGTGTTCAGTGTATTCTAAGCCCTGGAGGTCAGAGTATAAGAAAGAGGATTACAACCTCAGGAGCCAAGTAGATTAAACAGACGCTGACTCCTCGGTACTGTACGGTCACACACTGATTACTACATTTTGAAGGAGTTGAAGAGTGTGTGTGTGTGTGTGTGTGTGTGTGTGTGTGTGTGTGTGTGTGTGTGTGTGTGTGTGTGTGTGTGTGTGTGTGTGTGTGTGTGTGTGTGTGTGTGTGTGTGTGTGTGTGTGTGTGTGTGTGTGTGACTCACTCTGAAGCAATCATAAGCAATAATCAAAGAGAACAATCAACCAATGCAGTTCGGCTACATCGGCAAAGGCCTGATTGTGCCCCAGTGATCACGCAATCATCGGTTATAAATAGACATCGGTCATTGCTGGAATGCATTTCTAAAAATATATCAAAAGATGGGACTGATTTTTCATGAAGAGAAGCATTTCCAAGAGGAGTGGATGAGCAGTGTGAGGTTTAAATGTTTTGTATGTTAAATCACGCTGAGTAATGAGAGGATATTGTGTGTAAACAAAGTACAGGCATGTTTCCAAACCTTTCCCCCTGCTCACTTGAAACGAAAAATAGAATTAATGAACAACTACCAGGCTCCGTTTTGTCCGTGCACTTTGCTCCTCTAAACAAACCAAATGCCATCGCGGCGAGCTCTGTATTCACGTGGGAGTCGGAGAGCAGGAGAAGTCGCTGCATCTGAAATTGGAGGTGGATCCGGACTCTCGGAGGACACGAGAATCTCACTACGGTTGACATTTTCTGCTTTGCGCCATGCACATAAGCAACTCACAGTGCAGTGTAGCTGATGAGTTGGGCTCTGCACAATTGAACAGGCTATGATGAAATGGCAGCAAAGCCTACGGGCTCTTAATAATAGAAGGAAAGCATAAACAGAGTGCGACTGTATGCCTAGCAGCTGATAACAAGGTTCATAAAAAGATGCAAGGCCATTCAACACCCTCTTCCCTTAGGTCATTCCTTAAGTGCGACCCTGAATCCTTCTGAATGACCGACCTAAATGCTGGCTATGACCTGAATTCATCCGTTATATGAAACATGCCGTGACTAAAGGGAATTCCAGCAGAAACCGTGAATTTCTAATGCTGTTTTGTTACAAATTAGAATCGCTGGCAGGAAAATGAATGGGTTAAGACATTTGGAGGGGTATTGTGTGTAAGGAAGGCAAGTCTGAGCCGTGGTAAACACTTCAACACACTCAAGCGACTCCTTATCTGAGCATGGCAAGTGTGAGGGTTCATCTTATTAGACTTTCAGAAATAGACGGGAGTGAATCTCTCCACTCATATGGAGAGATTGGCAGTGCAGTCAGGGAAGTGATTTCAGCGCGGCACAGAATTGAATTGCTGCGGGGGGAGGTTGCTTAAGCAAGAGGTTTAATTTGCCCTGGAGTATGTATTCTCATACTGATATGCCAAAATGTAATTGGAGTCGGTACAAGAGCTGGTCGTTTCCATTTGAGATTTGCGGGGGTTCATTTGCGGTTTGGGATTTACTTTTCCAAGTGAATTGTGTCGTCTAAACAGGCTATTCTAAATCAGTGGGGTGCAAAAGTGGCGAAATGTATATTTATTTATTTAGGGCGGTGGTGGCGAAGTCGATAGGGAGTTGGCTTGGCAACTGGAAGGTCACCAGTTCAAGACCAAGTGCTACCGAGGTGTCCCTGGTGCCGTTCAAAATGGCAGCACACTGCTCCTAACTCTAGGATGGGTCGAATGCAGAGAAACAATTTCCCCACGAGGGATGAATAAAAGTCCATCTTATCTTGTGTTTTTAAAGAGAACATTTCAACAGTGGCGGACAGGTGCAACACACATTACAACGGCCCAAAACATTTCCATTAGGAGAACCACGCTGCAGTTTCAAACAACGGTGAGAATATAAAAACACAAAGGTGCCAAAACACATGCAGATGAAGACTTGTTTGCGCCTGTCGGCCACCGTACGTTCCTGATTGGTTGATAGGCTGGGGTCGTGACATATGGAGATGAATGCCAGTAAACACTGGAGCACACTGGTGAGTCACATCCCAGTATGGTCTCTG